TTGGCAGCATCCAAATCAATATCACATTTATGGAAATATCACATTGGAAATATCACACTTGGAAATATTGTTGGAAATATCACATTTATAATTCCCCATATAATCATGAGTCTACTCCTTATGAAATTACCCTGTGATCTGATTGAGTGAAATTCACTTTACCTAGTTTCGGAAGAGACTAAATAGCATAAATCATTTGGAAAATGATCAGTTATTCTGACTTGGTGCTATAAACTTCCAGAAACTCACAAGAGAAGTAAAAGCTGGAAAATTTTCCATTTTTCCATCTCAAAACTGCATTTCTCAAAGAAAGAGAGAGGACACTGACCTAACACTGTTCACTGACAGTCCGAATGGAATGAATGTGTATGTTCTGCCTAGTGTATTTAAGGTGAATGAGCTGAACCCCAGGGTTCCCTGCTGGAGTCTCTCTGCCAGACATCCCATCAAACACCGCTGCCGCTGGACCAGGCTATGGATTCCTCTTTGCATAATAATTAGATCTGCATCCTCTGCTGTCTATCATGTTATCTGAGAAATCTGGAAACCTGTGCCTTCTCTGCAGAATGAAATGGGAAAAGCTGATTTAAATACCACTAATTTTTATATGTAGCAAAAAAAAATTCACTGTACATTAATTGCAAGGACAGTAATTAAAAGTACCATTACCAAAAATACCAGTGAGTTAAGGACAATGTTAACAAAACTAAGATACAGAATTTATTTTCCCCTCAAGACTGTCATCCTTCTTGGGAAAGAATCTAATAGATGTACCTGGTGTCTTACACTGTGGTTGTGTTCTATGGGAGTATTGGACTGTGAATCTTTCAAGAGAAGAAATATCTTTTATATCTATCATATCTGCATCCTCCTTTATTTTAAAAACATTCAGCTACTACACAAGTTAACAGGCACACTAACAGCAACAATAAATTAAGTGCATAGCTCCCCCAAATGTAAATGTCCTACCTAAATGTCTAACATACTTTGAGGTCCTGTCCACCTTCCAGGGATTATATCCTTCCACACTAACTGCAGTTCTTTGCCATGAACTACAAAGACTCTGTTGCTGATGACCTGGCCCAGTCCTCATGGGCCAACACAACACCTCATATCACCCTACAAACTAGTATGTGACTGCTGAGCTGGCAGGTTTCCTCCTCCTGCAGGTCCTAACCCAGTGATGGCCACTGATGCTCTCGCAGACCGCCCGGGGCTGTATGCAGGTCCTACACGCTGCATTAGAAGCAAAATGGTTGATACTGAACATGTTCACACCATGCACACTTTGAAGGGACTTCAAACACTCGTGCTGTCCTGCAGTGTGAGCACTGGTTATCGGTTGAAGAACATATTTTGATTTGGTTTTATCCAAAAGGAATCCTGAATGAGCATCTGAGACCATACAGAGGATTTGCAGTTTGAGGATGCAAACTGAAGTAATGCAAATGGGGATCATCAGTTCTCCTTCAAAAGCACAATCCTCATCCAAACTAAACATACCCCTATAAACCTTACCTAGAATTCATTTATCACAGAAACACCTAGAGAACTAATTCAAGATCAAATTTATCAGTGTATCTTAATGTTAAATTAGTTAAACTAAAATGTAGCAAGAATATTTCAAAAGAGTGTCAGGGATTTTAGAGCAAGTCTCCTGTTAGGAGCCAGTGTGACTCTGTAAATCTTTCAGGCACTTGGCAAAATTCTCCTTCTGGGTATAGCCTAAGTGCCTCGAAGTCAGTAACAGTTATGACATTGCCTCACTTGGATCAGACTGAGGCCTTTTCTTTGTAATTTCTCTTTTGATTAAAAACAACATTAATTCAGAATTTCAGATTTACAGCTCACTAAAATATAGTATACGCCAAGAGCTCCTTACTCTCTGCTATACTTACAGTATGGGCTAGAGGATACACATAACATGCAACCAAGGGACAGGGAAGACAAAACTGAGCAGTCAGTAAAACGATGAAAGGACTTTTTGTGTATCAAAAGCTAAGGTTGAGTCAATTAACTACAACTGTACAGATTTTCTCAGGGTTGGGACAGAACTCAGGGTTGCCACAGACTGGTGACAGGTCTAAAGAGCATCTTGTATCACAGCAGTCTTGCACAGCTATTTGCCCTCCAATTAATGTCAGACTAATTCAATCGGCACAAATTCTAACTATGAATTATGATAAAATAAGTCTTATGGAATATGCAGGGCCATTTTGATAGCAGCTTTTAGACAAAATGAGACTTCCCAGAAATGTCTGGACAAGTTTAGGAGAGTCACACAGCCAGATAGTTTGCATATAACTGAATCAGAAACTATTCTCACCAAACAGTTAGGCCTCACAGCTTGCCACAAAATAAGAATTGACCCTGGAACCAGCAAAATGAGAAAAATAACAATCCAGGAACATTAGTTAAATGCATAGAAAATTCACATTCTGTATCTTAAACTGATTTCCGTTCACCTCAGCTCTATGAAAAATAAAGTCTCCTCTTTGCATATGACCTTGGCAAGGTCAAACAATCACAGCACAGGCAGAATAGCTTGAAAAACAAACACAAAGGAATATCCACTTGGCTTAAAATAAGCCAACGCTCCAAGATCTGTAGTTTACGCATGTGTTCTGGGAATAAATTTTGTCCTCCGGATATTCTCTCAAGTCTTCGTTAACTGCTTTGCTTCAGCTCCCTCCCTGTTTGGGTAGAATACTAAGGAGGTTCACACCAGAGACCACAGGAAGCTGCACAGCGGGAGCGCGTTGAGCCGGTATCTTGCTGTAGGCTAATCACGGATACTGAACTCTTAGGTGCTCCTGAAAAAACGGTATGTAGACATCCTATAGAACTTAAGTGTTTTTAAATAAACTCCAATTATATTACTCCCTATTAGGTAATTCCCACAGAACTCTATTAAATTCCTATGATATTTTTGGTTTTATGCCTACCTGATTTCGAAGTCCTGATTTCAAGTGACAAAGGAGAAACAGAGAATTACCATTCCAAGTTAGACCACAGATAGAATTTGCTAAGCATTCTGCCTCCACTAATTGCCAAAATTTGATGCTCCAGAAATGAATAAGCTCTCCTGTTTTCCTTAGCATACAGACAAATGGTATTTATTAGCCAGTTGTGCAGAAATAAAGTTAAGGTTAAAGGCAGCTTGAAGTGTTAACTATTATTTGGCTGCTTTTACCATAACATGTCAACAAATACTACTATTGGTCTTAAAGTTATTCAGCCCTATTCTAACAACCACAACGGTTTGGTGAAAATTTTGTGTTCAAATCAAAAGTTCAAAATAATTAGTTTATATACAAATTTTGGAACATTCTTTTGTATTCCTCCATTGAATTGAAGCCTGTTATTGATTATACATGAAGGGAATGTAGGAAGTTAACAAACTTAGAAGGTTTACCCACAGGTAAAGACACAGGTAAAGATGTTTTAATAGAAAGTGTGAAAAAGAGGTCACCATTTATAGCCTTCCTCTGTTAGTATTGGTTTGTTGACACTATTTGATTGCCAATGTGAACTATCTGCAATAAAGGGTAATATTCCAGAGATCTATTTTGAAAATGGAAAGTTTTTTTCTTTTATTACACATAAATTGACAATGAACTTGGAAAGTTTTAAGCTTCACAAGCTAGGAGGTATTGACAACTGTCATCTTTAGGGTATATAGTATGGAAAAGCTTTATAGACCCACTCTTCCACGAATATATTTAATGCTTGTGTTCTTTGGGACAATTAAAGTTAAGTAGTCCTTAAGCACATTCTTAAAAGTCATCCTAAATTAGGATGCTGTTTTTTTTCAATCGCAGCCCTAATGACAAAAACAATTTCTTCTAGTCAAAGGTTTCCTTCATCCTCATACCACTTTCAAGTACCTTTTATTCCACCACCACCACAATCTTTCTATCACTTTATTTCCAGGTAAAGAAAGAGAAGTCACTATTCAGAAAACTGGTGGAGCAAATATAAAATAAACAGATATTCTGCTGCAAAAATTAAGTATTAAGACAGTCCCTTTGCCAAACTTTTCTGAGCATAATTTAAACATAATGCACTTAAATTACAGAGAAAAGTAAAATCTTAGAATAGTTAATATGTTAAAAATGCTATATGAAGACCAAGAGCTGTGGGCCTAGAATGACAGCAATGAATAATGTTCTGGCTTATAAATTACTGTTGTACAGTACACTGGCTTTACTGAAAGCATTGCAGTGTGAGAAATAACCAGCCAAAGCCAATCTGACTCCAGTCCAGTGTGTACATCCTATAGACTCTGTGTGCATTTTAAACAGTTTCACTACAGAGGCAGAAACATTCACTGAAAGGAAAAGGAATCTTAATAAGTGACATTTAAAGCCATTAAGGGAGCAGGCAGCTGGAAAAAAAAAACACTTTTTTTTTTTTTTAATCTAACAAATTAAACAGAAAGAACAGGATACATTTCTCAAGCAGCACAGTATATGCATCAGAGTTCACAAAATAGGAAATACCCAAATCAATTATTCAGGGAGCACGGAAACCAGATAACTTTGCTACAGTAATTTATCCTAAATTATTTTATCCTGCAACACCAAAACTCACAGTTGTGGAGGGGGTTTATGTATAATTAAGGCTCTGACATTGCAACTTCTCCATCATATGTGATGGAGACTACCGAGATCTGGTCTGCATAAATGTAGCAAGAAGGTGCAGCCCATTTAACCAATGGAATGCAGAGACATTATCTTGGAAGGGCTTGCATGCATCCTAAAGCACAGCTGCTGTAAAACCAGAGCTGTGCTTATTAACCACAGCAGGGAGAAACAAGATATCAAGGGGAAATATTTCAAACACAACATGCCAAAAAACAGGGCATCTGAAAATGAATTAAACAAAAATTATATATAGTATATATCACTCACATATAGCCTATATATATATTTATACATATACAAAACACATTTGTTATATACATATTTATATATGAATAAACATGTATAGGAACTAACCTTACAGGCATGCTCCATCATGATGCACCCTGCTTTTCTGCTTTACCTGAGGACAGCACCATTCCTGGCATGAAGTGCACTTCATTTTAAAACCTGTAGGCTGTTCCTAGCAGACAGATTGAAAAGGATTTTTATGATTCACACTGCAAAATGCTAAAAAAAAAAAAAAAATCCATCCCTGCTGTGTAAGGCTGTATTTTCCATCTCTGTCCTCTGAATAGTGGAACCAGATGAGAAATGATTCATCAGTCCAGGGACGCATTTAGAGGAGAGAGGAAAAAAAAATAAAAAAGAATCAAGCGTACAGTAAAATCTGCTCACCATGTACACACCCCCAAAGTGGAGAAGCAGAGCAGCCTCCCAAGCGAGGAGAAGCTGGAGGCGGCTGTCAGGCGAGCGGCGCAGCTGCGGGCGATGGCCTGTGAGCGCGGCTCCCTCCCGGGAGCAGGAGCTCACGGCGAAGCCCCAGCGCGCGCAGCCATTGCAGTGGCACTGCAGGAGCGGCTGGGCACGTCAGCGCCCAGCACAGAGCCGCAGGCACAGAGCCCTCCCCGCCGCGAAGCCGGGCGAGCGCCAGCACAGAACGCCTCGCCTCCTCGCAGCCCGAGTCATCTGCAGCCTGCCTTCTGCCACAGGGACTCATTGGCAGCTTCTCTTCAGGCAAAGGTTGCATCCAGCACCGCAGGAATTGGAAATGAATTCCTCCTGAAGCAGCAGCTACATCACCAAACAGGGTAGCTAAGATTGAAGGATATCTGGGTTTAAAAATAGTTAGAGCCTTTGCACTTGTTCCTCGCAAAGGAGACATTCGAAGTTACATGGAAATCCTTAAATATACACAAGCTCAGGGCTAGGCATTAGAGATTATCCTTCATATGAGTATTATTACTGAATAATCCTCTGTTCTGCAATTATGTGGAAATGGAAATATGATGGCAAAGAGGCAGGTGTCCTTATAAGCTCCTGTAGGGCACAATTTGAGAATTAAAGCGCTGCAGATATGAAAAGCCTAGCTTATCATTAACCCCTAGCTCACTGTCTCTCACTACTACTCTGAATTCAAAAAGAGCATAGGCAGTATTCAAACTCAAAATGCTAAATCTGCTTCACTTCAGTACATGGAAACAAATACAGACAGAAAGGAAATGGATGATAATTGGTTACAAGATACTCAGAACTGCCCTATACACTGCAAAATTCACTAGAAGTCAGTAGGATACTGGGTCTACTTGTTTCCTTTTCAATTTCTTATTGATGGTGAAGATTAGGTACCACTTAGAATAAACTCACCATGTTGCTTCAGGCATGACACAATGATTAGGGTCCGCTGCGGCAAAGTGGCTCCGCTTATATCCTAAAGCATATTGTCAGCTTTCAGAAAGATTGGTGGGTTTTTCTGTACCTTTTTTTTCTTTTTTTTTTCCTAGAAAGCAATATCTAAGTATCTAGAACTTTCTATCTAAAAAGCTTCTGGTTTTCCTGAGTCAAAACCACAGACTCTGTGCCGCATGTGTTTACATATGAAAGAAACGTGTGCTGTATGACTGCTCTAACCAGCTTCCCAGAAATGTGTTCTTATTTTTGTGGTTAACCACCGCTCTATTTCTCATACCCTCTCTCACTGCTCTGCCCTTTGCTTACCTTTGACAAGGGTACATGCAGTGACAGTCTGATAAAATCTTTAGAATGAAATTTAAGATGACTTCATAGGAATACCTGAAAGACAAAATTATATCAAAATTCTAACAATAGGAAGATACAAGAACAGAATCTATTTATGCTTTGCTGTGAAAAGTTTTAGACTCAGAATTTTCCTTTTCTCTGTGCATTCCTGAAGGAAAAAAAATAATGATTATTCCCAGACATATACTCCTCATTAGAGAGGCATTTCTTCATTAACCACAATCCTGACTATTTAGATGGGACTCGATACTCACCTGGCATAATGTTGAACTCTATAAACCCTCATAGAAGTATAAAGTTTGCCTGCAAAAACACTGTAGCATCAGTGCTTCAATGCACATATACAAAGTTACTGGATTTCATTTCAAATATAAGCAAAGATACACTACAGGCTGCGGATATCTCATTTTCTAGCTTCGACAAAAGCTCAGTGGTTTTCCCTGCACCTTCTTTTTGACACAAATATTTCCCAAGAACTAGACCATCTCACTACAGGTGCACGTCTCTAGGTCAGCCCATTCTGCAGCGAGCAGATCACCAGATCACGCATTCCATCCAGCTGCCCTATTTAACCAAAGAGGCATTTTCATAAGATGTAAGGGTTGACTGATTCTATGCCTGTGACCCCTGACTAAAGCTGTCGGAATAAGAGATTTTGAGTTGCTGTCCTAAAAGCAGTTTTCTATTTTTAGTGTTCAGCTGGAACATTATGTGGAAATTCGTGGGTAAAGAAATAAAAGAGAAAACAGTGTTATAAATGACATAAATCAAGAGGTCATTATGAGTTTACATGACTCAAAGAATTGTTTTCATTTTTCAGCTGGAAAGTGCTAATAAAAGGACACTGTTTGGGCAATTTGCATTTACTGAACCGTATCCATTACGAATCTGGCCAAAGCATTCCACTAGACAATGGTTCCTCAATCAGAACATAAAAGTTAACAATCTTTCATGATTTGAACCAGCAACAAGAGAAGATCTGGAGAAATTTCCATGCCCCACTTTTCTGATTCAGTGTAGAAGTGGTTAGGACTTCTTACATTTTGGAGGTGTATATAATATACCAGCAATAAATTACTAGCAGAAGTCTATTCCCGTTTTAATCTTCCGATTTACCTCCTTATTTCAGCTGCCTCAGCACAACATTCGTTATTTTGCCATAAAAAAGATGAGCAAGTCAGCAGGTGATTTGTCATGTAACACTGTGCAGCTGTCTGAGGAACCTGAGTAGGAACCTTTTTCTCAGTCTCTTCCTCAGTAATTTCCAGAGACGTGTATAACACACTCTATGAAAGGCACAGGATGGCCCTTGCATTGCAGCAGCTATGTCAGGAGCAGTTAAATGAAAAAAAAAAAAAAAAAGATCAGTGAAACAAAATTATGTCTTGTTAGTCAAGAAAATGTGATTATGTGGTGGGATCTTGAGGTAAACAGCATTAAATGATGCTTTTATACTTTTATAACCAGGGCAGCTGCTTGGCTGGAGAATCCAAACAGGGCAGGAGCAACAGATGGTCCTCTCACCTTGCCCTTCCTCCCAGGGAGGGGTATAAGGACCCTCTGGTCTGTAGCAACTGTAACAAGTTAAAAGAATAAGGGAAATCTTATTTATCTGCTTCTCAGATAAGCTCTATTCTGCATTTCTGATGTCAAACAAGATTCTATACGTACCCAATAGAAGTAAGGAAAGAGTTGTTTCTAAGTCTTACAGGTGTTGTATCTGTTTACATACCCTAAATCAGTTTACTCTTACTTAGAGTTAATGAGTCTTGTTTCTGGTGCATCCCTAGTGTGGGAAACAGTGGTGCTATAAGGCATGACAGATAACAATGAACAGATTTTTTTTTGTCATTTGGGCATCAGAATTGTTGCAACTAAGAAAGAGAAAGAAAAATGCAAGAAATGGAGATGCAAGTTCATAAAACAAAAAGAAGAAAATAAATTGCAGAAATAACTTAGGAGATTGGTCTCCTTCCCTCACTCCTATAGTGTTGCTGCCTTTTAAAAGCTTATAAAAGGATACAAAACCAAAGTTCTGTGTTCATTTAGTTTCTTCAAAAACGTAATGTGCTGGGGAGCTAATATTTCCTTTTGCTTCCCCTTGTAAAATGCATGCCTTATTCCTGAGCTTTGAATCAGTGCCTTGGGGTTACCGGAGCAAATGCCTGAGGCCAGGGTGGCAGCAGCAGCTTTCAGGGCCACGCCGCCTGGGGCTGCTGTGCTGGGTGTTCTGGAGAGGCGAGGAGCAGAGCAGGGCTGAGCAGCCAGGCAGTGACAGCCACGCGTGCCCCGGCAGCTGGGCATGCTGGGCTAAAGCAACTCACACGCAGCCTCGCGCACTCCACGATACCATCGTGCAGCTCCAGCAAAGAACTGTTGGATAAACACCTATAAATTATGTAACTGGATTTATCTTATATCATTAAGAAACCAAAGAGACTTTGATCATCATTATCCACTTCTAAACTAATTTAAACCAATTTAAGAGTGTCTTAAAAAGTCCCAATTTATATCACTTTGAAAATAGATTTGGTTAGATTGGTAAGATTATCCCATACAGACCTAACCCTGAATTTGTTATCATCTTTAGCGTATACATTAAAACTCTCATCTTATTGGTAAGACTGTTTTGGTTTTTAAAACAGTTAAATCAATAGACTATGTGTATTACACCTCCCAGCCTCAACAGTCTGGGTAAGAATGTCTAGCTCAGAAATGAGTAACTCAGAACAGCCTGGTGGTTAATGATGAACAATATTCCAAGAAATGCCTGGTATGAAAATACACACGCTGACTTGACTTACAGAGGCAGCTGATAAAGTTAATAACTAAGCCCTTAGCAGTGGCGAGGGGAACTCAAGGCAATAGAGGGCTCCTGGATTTGGAAGCTTTAGAGGAGCTCCATCCCGCCCAGGCGCGCAGGATCTGCCCTGCACAGCTCCCGGAGCGGCAGGAGGCACGGAGCTCCACAGTCTCCGCCCTGTGCGTGCTGCGGAGCCGTGGCCTGTTCCGAGTGATGCGGGCGCTTTCCCACGCAGTCTCATTCCTCCAAGGCGGCACCGAGTCTGTGCTTTTCATTACCTCCTAGCCATTATAAAGCAGGTAAAAATGACTCCCCTCTTATTTAACTTCTATAAGAATAAAAAACAAAAAAAGTTTAATCAGCTCTTTGAAACTCAGTGAAATACGACGATAAACAGATTTTGCCTGAAACAATTTTCCTGCAGGAACAAAGATCCTGCAGGCTGACACAGTACAGAAGGACATGTTCAAAATAACTGCAAAGTTAAGAGAGTCTCAACAACAAGGGTAACTTCCTAACTGTTTAAAATAGTGCAGTTTTCTAGTCAATAGAGGAAGTTCACTGTTGCCTCTGATTTCAAAGGAAGTAACATGATTTTTCGGACATGCAAG